CCGCGCGTAGCGTAGGCCGATTCGTTTCTGATAACCTCATTAGTCGGCGATAATGCGCGCGCGGCGCGCGTGTAGTGGATGACGTAATTCACTGTGTATCGCGCGCGATACACAGCGGCCTCCGTGTTTATCGAATTATTATATTACCGCGCGCGATTGTGTAATCCTAATAAATCGCGAAGCGCAAATAACGCCGTCGATGATACCGTCGAGATGACTGGGATTTTTGTTTGAAGAGCGGATCGCGCGCGCGCGGATGCGGACGCAGACGCGCCGAGTTTTATGCGATGCGAGTTTGTGATTCGCAATGCGATTTATTTCCCTCGGACGCGCGCACTCGGGAGCGATGGCGGGGCCGCACTTGGATGACGACGACACAATGACGCTGATACATCCATTGACACTGATGGTTCTTGGATCGGTCGGGATTACCGACGCGTTTCCCGGGTAATGCTGTTTCCTTGTTTCTCTTCCGCCTCGCTGAAGGGTGTATTGTGGTCGGGGCTATCCCATTACGAGGCCACTGTTTGATGCCGGCGGGAGAAGGACGGACATAGGTGAATGGATCACTTGCGATTCCTGCGCCGATTAATTTGCATTTCTAACTCAAGTGTTCATCACGCGCTTCTAACGGCGTCGTTACGCCAGATGTTTGTCGGATTTAGTGTCTACTAGTTGGTAATTGTTCTTACGCTAGTTGCGCGCCCGCATCGAGCGATTGAAACGCTCGTTGCTGTAATTATTTCCCGATGCTGTTGTTTCTCCTCGAACGTGCGCGTAACGGTGCTTTCGGATTTCGCGCTTCGACTCTCAACGCTGGATTTTTTTCTCTCTCCTTTCTTCCTTCCCCGCTCTCCTTTCCTCGTGTGTAAAAATTAAATTGCTCGATCCGTTTCTATCGCTCGAGCGCTTTGAACGAGCCCGCTTATTTTTAAGAACAAATCGCAAATTATCATATTCAGACTCCGAAACGTTTGACTCAACGAACCGCCAGTCGCTACTTATCGCGAGTATACGCGCCGTCACGACACGGTTGCGACATTTTCCACCGTGGAAAATGTAATGTCCCCCGAGTATCTCGAAATACGCACAATGGCTCGCCGTAATGCTCCGAATCCGGATACGTGACACTCATGAAATTCGATTCAGGCACAGAGAGCGGAGGGGGGATTTCACACGCGAGAGACTTATTTTTGCCCGTCGCGTCGCATCGCGAGGTCGCCCGGCGGGAAAATTCCGGCCGGGCCATAATCGCGAACGAATGTTGGCCCCGGCCATTAAATTGATATTCCGTGAATCGGTGTCAGAAGCACACTCGATACTGTCTGAATAGGCTTGTTTCACCGCGCTCCGGCTCCGAGGATCGAGGGGTCGCGTCGCGTCCCATCCGCGGAGAAAGCTCTCCGCCATTGAATGCGAACAAACTGGCCGCCCTTTTGTCGAGGACAATGCCGGGAGCTTACGTTCGTTCAATATTTTCCATCAACAGGCTCTGCGCGCGCTCATCTCGTTATGAAGTCTGTTTGATCGGCAAACATCGCAGGCTCGATGTATGCGGCCTGGATTGCGCGACTCGGCGAGAGCGATAGCGAGAAACGTCCGTTTCCTTAAAAAAAAGTTTCCGCAATAATTCCGCAGCCGCAAGACCGCTGGATCCGGCCGGAAATCTCCCCTTACTTTGTCACGCGCGAGTGTTCACAGCACGCTGTCACGCGTTACGCCTTTATCCACTCCAGCGCGCTCCCGAGTCGAAAGTTTGAACGCGCTTAAATTTTTAATCGGCGTCGAGCAACATTTTTCGCAACGGACTGAAGTAGAACCGAAATTTCGACTCGCACTCGCTCGAAATTCGCCGAGGATTTTCCTTCGTTATCTCGCGCTTTCCCACACGCAGCTGGCTTTCCCATTGACCATCGATCGGGGTTGCCATCGTATACATTGAACACGGAAGAGATAACGAAACGGATAAAAGTGACGGGAAAGAAGACGGAGCAAACTCTTAATTACGCGAAAAATTCATTTTGTGAGTGAATAATCCGCGTATCGATTTTGCAACCGACCACGCAGGGCTGATAGTCACGAGAGGATGAAGAGAGAGAGTGTGTGTAGTACGGGAGGGAGAGTTTGTAGAAATTCGTCGTTTGAGGACGAGGCGAGCGCTTCCACGGCGCGGGGATTTATACATTTTGAGTATTATCAAGGTCGTCGTGAGCAATCTTGACGGTCCGCATCTGTGCCCAATATTCCGGCGGCTGCCTTGAAGTCACCCCTCTTGCGCAGCCCTTGTGTCTACGATGTACGGCGACAGCTCACCTCTGCGCGGAGAACCGATGACAAACGTTGCCATCTAAACAAAGGACCTCATGGCATACGCGCAGCAGACACGCAATTTCCGCGCGACATGTAAATCGCCCGAAATGAATTTCTGCCAATCACGCACGTGCGCCAGCCGCGCGCGATCACGGAAGGTCCCCGCGCGCGCGCGCGCTGTGGAGCGTATTTCCGAAAAAAAAAAAAAAGGAAAAAAATGCATGCCCACCTAACGAAGCCTATAAAGCGATAAAAAAATACACGCACGCGTGCGCGCGCGCACATGGACGCGTGTGTGTGCGCGTGTGTACAACGGAGAAAAGCGCGGCGCGCATTGTTGAAATGAAATTGCGTGGTTTATCGTATCGAGAGCGTTCTCTCTCTCTTCACGCTGCTTCTCTTTCGTCACGTTTCCCTCTTCCGCGCAATTATTATTATTACAGCCGAATACATCGTTTATGTTAATCTCGGCGTTGTTTCCTCTTCTGCTTCTCTCGTGCGAAAGAAAAAAACGAGCGGCAATTAAAAATTTGCGGGACCGTGAAGCTTCGCGGCGCGAGCGCCGCTCGGAGATTATGATATTGACCTGCGGTGCGCTCTCGCGCGCCAAGATTAAATTCTCATCCGAGAAATCGAATGAATGAGATACACTCGCGCGCGTGTGTGTGTGTGTGTATTTCGTACGCTCATCGTAATATCCACTCTTCCGTTATACGGTATTTACGTTGCGTGAAACAATTCAATATTTCGCTCGACGGCAAGCGCATTGCGCACTCGTTTTATTCCAGTTTTAATAGCATGCACCCGCTCGTACTTTTTTTTTCCGCGAGAGAGAGAGAGAGAGAGAGGGGGAGCACGTGCAGGAGAATAAATATTTAAACGTATGGAAAATATCGCGAATTTGACGCGCGAATTAAGAATGCGATGACGCGCCTCGGCGGAATGCGGAGCCGAAGATATTTCATTCGCGTTGTCGCGATATCGTGCATTTGACACCGTGGGTGGTGATTCGGCGTCTCGTCGTTCTCGCGAGAGAGAGGGAGAGAGGGAGAGAGGGAGAGAGAGAGAGAGAGAGAGAGAGAGAGAGAGAGAGAGAGAGAGAGAGAGAGAGAGAGAGCGAGCGAGAGCGAGCTCGACGTTTTATGCGAGATGACAGCGCAGAAACGAGGAATTAAGCGGAACGGGCCGGGGGATGCTAAGATTCTGCCTTCCGCGCATTCACCCGGCCTGTCGAATTGCGCGCCGAGATTCGCATACGCTCGCCCGATGGCCCACACGGCTCGTCGATATCCTCCATTCGGATGATTGATGCGTGCCGTCGCTCGGCAAACGCGACGACATAAATCAAAAGACGTCGCTATACGCGTCGCACATTCCGTCGCCTTTCTTCTCCTCGATCCTTTTCGATCCGATCGTTTTCCCTTTTCTCTCCGTGTGAGGCGCTGCGCCGCGTCGGGCGTTATCAAATCGCCCGACAACAGCGAGGACGAGGGGATTAAATACCGAACGAGAGAGGGAGAGTGGGGGAGAGAAAGCGAGAGAGAGAGAGAGAGAGAGAGAGAGAGAGAGAGAGACGAGCTTCGATTGTTGGGGTATGACGAAAGTGGTATGAGTTGACGAGGGTGCCGGAGGAGGTTGTATTACCGTATAACCTCCCTGGAAGAGCATGTAGGGCTCACAGATCCGCCTTGTACTCCCTTCCGTAATACGTCCCGTGATAGTCATTGTCGACGTATTATCCGATTACGGGCGGAAAAAGAGCGCGATGCCTCGTTAATGCCGCCAATCTAATAACGGCGAAAGAGTAATTCGTTTCCTTGTGCGCAGTTACGTAGAATAGGAGGAGCACTTTTTGAAGCGTCCCGGCTCTATTCGTATCGAACTGAATTTATCCCACTTTTTGCGAGGGGACTGCGCAGCAGCCCTCGACGGAAGGTCTGAATATTACGGAAAGTCGCTCGCGACGATTGTTGTCGCAAACCGTTCCTCCACTCGGTAATCTTAGTGAATAAAAATACTGCGTTCTCTCACGCGGGCGAGTTCGTCGCGCGCGAATTGTCACCGAGATGTCTCGAAAAAAAGATTCACCTTTGCCGTTAGAAAGAGGAAAAATAAGGGATTTAATTCGACAGAATTGTGCGATGAGATCTGACGTCAATAATCAAATAATACGAGCGATGGTCCGGTATTAAAATATTAGGTCATCTGTTTCGGTCTCGAAGAGAGAAACAGCGAATGAATTATTTGGCGATTTTAATCGACTTTCTGCCTGCTTTCGGCAAACATCGTTTGCATATTTTATTATATTGCGACTTCCACTTGTGCGACGCGCAACATGCTGCGTAATTCGGTCATTTTACACACTGTTATCTGAAACAAAGAGGAAAGGAGGTTGAAGTGTCTTAACAGATAACGTCGCTTTATTTTTAGAGGTGAAGGACACGCCGGCGTGTCTCCTGTAGCAACTCGCTCGAGTGCACTTGTCTGACGTCGTCAGCGCGCGACAATTTCCTGCCGACATGTGTCCGAAAGAATGCGGAACAGGTAGCGCGAGAAAAGGAGACGCGTTGCGGAATCATTAATTATTCTCATTAGGCGGCGCCTGACATATGCCGCGCAACTGGCGAAACAGTCGCGCACAATTATTCATTGTCAATGTTTCACAAAAAGACCGTTATTTATGCCGAATATCAACTCGGTATAAATACTGCTGCCGCGCCGCGGTACGGCATACAAGTGCGAAGGTGAATCAGATTGCAACATGAGGGCGGCAGTCGTGCTTCTGGTGCTGATCGTGATGTGCGTCCTGGTCGAGGACTCCGTAAGTTCGAGCTCTGATCTAACAGTAGAATTGACTTCTTTGTTCGAAAGTTGACGTAAAACAAGTCTCCTCGAGCTGACGACTCGTTGTTCGTTTCGCACGCAGGAAGAATTTTGGTTCAAACGATGCCGTCGTCCGTGGCGTCGTTGGAGACACCACCGTAGAAGGACTACCACGACTACGACCACGACCACGACGACGACGACGACGCCGGCGACAACGGCAGCGACGGCAGCCCCGACGGCAGCCCCGCAGCCGCCACCGCCAGCGCCGGGAAATAGAAAAAGACGTGAGATTATGGACACTCCGCTTATACCGGTGATATCATAAGCGTGCGAGGAAATTGCAACGTCCGACCGGAGGAAAGTGATGCCTGGACCCCGCGAAACTTTGTCAGAGCGTTGGCAGTTGTAGTACAGTACAGTAGAATAAAACCGGAGTAGCCTCCTCTGAGACAGTAAATCGCAATAAAGACGTATCAAACGCATGCATGCATATGCGAGTGTCATATTTTTCAAATCTTCATATTTTCGAAGCCGACGGAAAAATTATCCGAGCGGACGATACTCTTCCGGGAAAGCGCTTCAAGCGCTGCCGATAAGAGAATATTGATGAAACCGGCTGGTGAAAATAGCAACGAGCGGAAATCGTAATGCATATCACGGACACGCATGCCATGCGCGAATCCTCAAACTGAACTTTGCAACTATTTCTTCATCGCATATCGATTTTTTGCCCGATATGCATAAAGGGAGAAAAAGCCGCGGGAGGATCCGAGCGGTTGCTCGAGCGGTTGTTCGCGCGGTCGGGTTTTTCGTCGAAAATGCGGGATCTGCCATGATGATGTCTTTCGGAGCATATCGAGAAGCGGTAAGATATGCGCCGAGAGAGCGACAAAGACGACAGTCGTTGGAGCGCGCGTTTCTATGGGGTTGGAGGCTTTGCCCGGGCTGAAATTTATTTTTCTACGAGTCGTCGTCGCATACGACCTCCGGGCCGCCGAGGTCGCGATATTCCACATGCGTTATGCACACGCAGATACACGCGTGATGCGCGTAAATCGGACGAGGGTGGAAATTTGCGTTTGATTTTGCGTCCACCGCGATGACGACGACGACGACGACGACGATTTCGAGGCGTCGAGGAGGAATTTCCTTGGTGCGAGCTTTCTTCGGAGAGAGGTGCGAGAAAGCACAAAACATAGAGTAAAATCTAACCTCTCTCTCTCTCTCTCTCTCTCTCTCTCTCTCTCTCTCTCTCTCTCTCTCTCTCTCTCTCTCTCTCTCTCCTGCCTTCATCTCTCCCCTTTCTCTCTCTAGCTCTCGATATTCCGTTAAAACGAAAGCGTAACTGTCGGGTATCATTACGCAACACCGTTCACACTAGGCGCACTAGGAAACTGCTTTGAGATAATCCTCTTTCCGGGGGTAATCGATTTTATTTTATTTTCCATTTTCTTTTTTCTTTTTTTTTTTTTCAATAAATGCCTCGCTTAAAAGTGCAAAAGAGTTTTAGCACAGCACAAAAGCTGGCAGAGCGCGCGGTCACGTCAGCTCGGTGGCGTAACCTAATTTTCAGCGATTAAATGCAACGAGCGCGATAATGCTTGTAAATTGAGCGAATTATGCCACCGGCGTTGGCACCCGACGTAGCCTCGTCTGATTAACATGCACGTTACGCCGGGTAATGCCGTTCGACCTGACATTTGCATTGGTACGCGTCGAACGGCCTGAGATTTTAGCACGTGGCTGTCTTGAGCGAGTGGGGCCATGTAAAGCGTGTAAATTGCTCGATGGTCGGCCATGATTATTACAATGGCCATTAATGCAAAGCGGATAGAATCATTCCTCTATTCCCGACGGGCGCGCGCAATTCTCGCGCTCGACAGCGGGGACGAACAACGACGTCGGCGAAAAATCGCCTTACGAGGGATAAAACAATGCGGCGCGGCGGCGCGAGACGAGACTTTCGCTCGCGAGAGTCCCAACTATATAGACGTCGAGCAATGCGAAATTCTAATCAATCGCTCTTGTTGCGACGGAAAAGTCGTTTTACATAGCGGCTCTTTCATTTCCTCGGAGCCGCGGAGAACGGAAGCGGAATCTCTTCCCGAGGGTGACACGAATAGCGACGGAAACGTTTCTTGACGTCGACCTTCGACAGATTGTTAGTTCGCGTGTTCAAGCAGCCGCCCTGTTACCAATTTCCTGCGCGCTACCAGCCATTGAGATCTCGGCCAGGTGAAATCATGGCTACCTCCAGCTTCGCGGCAACGAGAAAAGAAATCGACTCTCATCTAAGCACCGTCGAAACTTCTGCTCGCGACAGCTACAGCTTTTTCGTCCTTCCGCCTCATTCAGACCCCGTGCGCCGTGTTCCATCCCGCCCCCCCTCTCTCTCTCTCTCTCACTCTTACCTTCGCCCGCTCTCTAACCATTCTCTCTCTCTCTCTCTCTCTCTCTCTCTCTCTCTCTCTCTCTCTCTCTCTCTCTCTCTCTCTCTCTCTCTCTCCTCTCTCTCTCTCTCTCTCTCTCTCTCTCTCTCTCTCTCCCCCCTTCGCTCTTGCTCTCGTCAAGCGGGACGGTAGTCAGGATTTACCATCTATGTGCGACGTTTTCACTGTTGCGTATCGAATCAGAGAGCCGGCGGCCTCGCTCCCAACCCCTTCGTTTTGGCCTACGAGTGCGAATCCTCGAAATGCGTGGGACGGAAAGGATAGGGACGCGGTGGGAAGCGGCGGCGGCGGCGGCGGCGGCGGCGGCGGCAGCGGCGGCGGTAGCAGCGATTCGAGGAGGCGGGTAGACGAGGGATGGCGCATCGCAGAGGTCGGACACCACGTAAATTGCATACCCGATTGCGGTCTACTGAAGAGTGGCGTCCTCCACCGAGTGTCCCACCCTCCCGTGCCGCTCTTCAACCCCGGTGCCGACCCCAAACTGGATCTAACAAGCCAGCGACCACAGGCTAGGTTCGGCTTGCAACAGGGTCACCACCTCTGGGGATCGCCGCCGGCTACAGCCAGTGAACTGTCCCTTGTGTGTCCTGACTGCAAACCCGCTCGGTGAAAATCTTCGTCGAACCCACACCCCACCCCGCGCCAGCTCACTCGCTCGTCCTAACAAGCCCGCTTATGTCCACTCGTAAACCGCCAGGATGCACACAAGAAGCGCGTTTTCCTCCGCGACGGGGGGATCATCCTCGATAAAGGATCAGCATGTGTCGGCTCGAATGAAGATGTCGCGCTGCCGACGCGTTGGCTCGCGCAGGCCGATCGATCGTTGCATCCGCGACGAGACAGAGATCATTCGCGTCGAGGGAGGTGACGGAGAAAGCGCGCAAAATGACGCTGTGCGGATGAAAACTTTGTGCGGGAAGGTAGTAATACTTAATAGACCGTTGTCGCGACCGTCGTCGTGCTACTACAATCGTCGCGCCGCGGCTCTTTGTCGGAAATATAACGAGAGCCGCGCTACGTGGCGTAATGATGTTGTCGCTGCGCGAGACAGGAAGCGACGCCACCCGCTGATCCGAAGAATACGACCGGGCCGAGCTGCATTCTAACTATCGCTTCTTACGGACGCGAAATAAAAGAAGCTCGCTGCGTGACAGGCCGCGAGCGCGCGCAGTGCACGCCTTCAGCGCGGGCAGCCTCAGCGCGGAGTCGAGTAAAGTCGAGTAATTATCACGCGAAGTCAATCACAGTTAATCACGGATCTCAGCCCCGGCGAGCCCTTTGTCCTCGCTTATCGCTGTCGAGAGCAACACGCCATGAGTTACGAATGTTTCGGACGAATGCGATATTCGTCAGAGCGATAATAACAATGTCTCCGGAAAAGAATTTCCCGGCGTTCTGGAAGAAGTGAGAAATATCGAGAGAATATTTTAAAGAACTCTTGCTGCGCAGGCGGAGGATCGATCGTTTAATTCGCCGGCTGCGAATGCACGCGGCGACGAATTTTGGAAAATGGATGGCAGAATTTTTCCTACTCCGGGGCGGAATAATCGCGCGCGTGAAACGCGCGAGAGAAAGAGTTTCGCATCTCTGCGGCATCGCGTCCAAAGTTTTTCGTCGTTAGATTCGTTAATATGTATTCTCTATCGCGGCAGGCGAGCACGGCCAAGTAGCATCGCGAACTTTAAACGACGCCGTTAATGCAAAACAGTAAGCTTCCGCCGATGATTTTTTGAATAGCTCTCGCGGTATATATACGTTAGCGACGGGCATCACAGGAGCGGCGAGAGACTTTGAATAAAGCATAGCGGCGGCGCTCGGCACGGGAAAATCTCTGGCCGCTAGACTGCCGCGCGACGGGGCTGTTAGAAAAGTTTCGGAACACGCCGGCTACCGCGGCGGATCGCGGCGAGGCGCGGAATTTAGCCCGGGGATCATCCGGTCGGACGAGGCCGATACGTCAAATGCTAATACAGTCGTTTAAGATAAATCCGGACGAATACATCGACGTTCGCCGCGCTAAGCAGAGTTATCGCATTAACCCCCTGCGGGGGAGGGGGGGGGCCGCGCGACGCCGGGAACAAACTCCGACGACTCCGGAGCGCCGTTCGCGCTCTTTCCCTCCCGCCCCGGATAAATCGGGACCCTCTTAAGCTCGCTTCGTGGCAATCGCAGACATCTATCCAGATGAAACGCCGGCAACCGTCGCGGGATAGTCATCTACTGCGGTACTTTGGCGCGCGCGCGCGCGCGGGGTAGGAACGCGCTGTGTTTCGGATATCGAAGAGAAGAAGGAGACGAGGCCGAGAGGAAGAGACGAGAGAGAAGCGAGCCGCGCGACGCGGAGGTGAGAGTTTGTGCGGAGGTAAGAGGCTGAAGAGCCCATCTGGCTTCCAATCAGAGCGTTGCCACCGGCACATGTGTTCACGGCACGTTGGAGGTGGCGGCTCAATCAACGAGGGGTGCATCCCTCTCCGACCTCCTTCGTCACCCCTCACTGGCAACTTTATATCACATAATCGAGCCTTGAAGCCGCCACTGCCATCGCCGCCGCCGCCGCCGCCGCTCCGTACCTCGTTTACCCTTACCCTCGCCCCGCATCGCTTCCGCCCCCAACTTTCTTCGTTTCTTTCGACGCGGCCTCGTCCTTTCGTCCTTCAGACTCCAACTCTGAGCGCATCCCCCCTCTCTCTCTCTCTCTCTCTCTCTTACTTTCTCTTACCTTTCCTTTCCTATCACTTCCGTTTACGAGCCTTCATCCCTCTTCCTTCCGTCGATCCTCCACCTCGCTGCTCTCCCAGCTCGGATCCGACCGTTCACCTCCTCTTTTCCTCCCTCCTCCCCCCTCTCTCTCTCTCTCTCTCTTTCTCTATCTCACTCTCTCTCACTCTCTCTCACTCTCACTCTCTCTACTCTCCTCTCCCACGAACGGCTCTAACGCACATCAACGACAGTACCTAACGGCGCTAACGGTGGGATAAGTAATTGCACGCGTCGCGCGGGGGAAAATGCATCGCCCGTTGCGAGAGAAACGGCGTGGTAACG